AAAAATATCGAGGTTGTTCGATTACATAATAAAGCTTTTTTATTATCGATTAGTAGTAATGATAGTTTTTTTTGGGTGCGAATAGCATTTGTATGTAGGTTTTGTTATAATTGCGAATAATTTTTTTGATAAACAATGGAGCTTATTCGTTTTTAATACTATTTTACTTTTGCTAATAGGCGATATGATTGAATGATATGAATGAATTTTTTAAAGGATTAAATGAAAAATGGAATAAGATTGTTTTCCGTGCATGTTACGAAAGAAGATATGTTTGTTGCAGTTTATTTCATTATCATTTGTTTCAAAATATTATAACTATAAAGTAAAAGAGGAAATAAAAACGAAATCATAACACAAAACAACAGAAAAAGAAAGTATAAGACAAAACCAAATTAAATTTGAAAAAAAAGCAAAAAAGAGTATCAAAAAGAAAGTATAAGACAAAACCAAATTAAATTTGAAAAAAAAGCAAAAAAGAGTATCAAAAGAAATAAACTTGTAAGACTAATTTTAGAAAAGTAGAAAAATAACAAAAGTACTAAGATAATATATTTATCAGCATGAATTGTGGAAAGCATTTTTTCTGTTGTCTATAAACTTCGAAATTATATGGTCGTCGTCTTAATAAGCGCTGTTTACATTTTTATTATACACACTAAACTAAATGTATCGTCTTAAACTATCAATACTACGTTATTAGGTTAAAATATCAGCAAAATACGTTTAGTAGAYTCTTGTCATCATTCTCTATTGGTTTTCGTCGTCCGAGCTAACGTTTGAGCTTCCTGGGAGATTGGCCGAGAAGTCACCGCGTGATGGAGCAAGAAAACCGCTSACTTCCTTGCTTTCAAGCTCGGGCTCAGAATCTCCAAAATCAGTGAGTTTTGGAGGAGGTGGTTGGTCATTTTCTTCACCGGAAGAAACAAGGTTTTCTGTGCTGACGCTGGGGGCAAGTTCCCAAGCTTTAATAGGACGCAAGCGCTTGCTTGAACTTCTTGAACTTGACCTTTTGAAGACTTTACCAGATTTCYGTTTCCTGGAAAGAATGAATGATTGACGATGCATAAATAAAAGAAATGACGATGAATAGAAAGACATAGCAAAAGCAAGAACCAAAGAAGTGAAGAAAAGAGAGCAGGAAGGAAAAAGGAATTCGAAGGATGGGACAAACGAAAGAACGAACAAAAGAAAGAACGAGCAAACAAGCGAACAAACAAATCTACGAAGGAACGAACGAAGGAACCAAGGAAGGAAAACGATCGATCAAACGAACGAACGAACGAGCGAGCGAACGAACGAACGAACAGGCGCCCGCACGCACTCATGATCGAACGAACGAGCGAACGAACGAGCGAACGAACGAGCGAATGAGCGAACGAATCAACGAACCAACGAACTAAAGAACAAAAAAGTAGAGAGGATAACAAAAAGTAATGGAACAAGTAAAAAAGGCAAGAAGAATAAAGTGAAATGATGAAAATTCACTTACTCWTCTTCCTTAGCGCCTGTCTTTTCCACCTCTGATTGGCCAGAACTATCTGGTTTGACGTCAGCATCGGCCATCTCAGTGACAATACCAGGTACAGGCACAATCTCTTGCATCTCTAGCTCGTCATCAGTAAGATTACCGCCATAGCAAGGATTTACAAACTCATGGTGATCATCTATTGGTTTCTTTTTGATGGAAAATTTTCTCTTTTTTGATGGCTGCTTTTTGATCTTTTGCTGCTCGTCATCGGATACTGACGTGCTTGATGCGTTATCAGATTGGCCTTGTACTTCTTTAGTCAAAGGATTTCTAAACAACAAAAAACGTAGATTTGAATAGGCATAATCKGTGAATATTGGCTTTGCACCATCAYGTGATGGCAGCCTATGCAGGACATTGGCAAAYTGAATCTATTCTAATCTGATTTACATGAGATATAATTTAGTTTCCCAGGGAAGATAGATTATATTGCTGCAGTGCCTCCTGTCATGGCTGTCATCACGTGACAGTGCAACACATAGCCTCAATACATAGTTTCACATTCAATCCACACTACTGTCTTTAAAGGTCAAATACTCATTTGTAGAGTTTTAACCTCCTTTATTAGTCAGCTATTCACAAATACCATTAAACGTACGTGAGATTTTTCAAAACATTGTACATTCTTTACATCACAGTAAACTTTTGTTCTTAAACGAGGCAAAGCCTGTGTAGATGAGCCTTTAGTCATAAAACACAGCGGTATTTACCGAATGTGAAATTGCACTATTTCCGGGTGTTAAAGT